CTCTCTAAAGGTCGTTAAATAAATTGAGTATCAGTATCATGCAATGGGTATAGGATGAGTAAGCGGCGTGTACCTAGCTTCAGATCAGCCTAAAATGGCTTGATGGGGGATGTCTTCTATAGTGGTGCTGTTACCTGAGGAATTAAGTACTCGGTATAATGGTTGCCCATTGAAGATGATAGGACACAGACCCGAGATTAGTCTCATAAGAAGCAATGGGTGGTCTGGCCGTAAACACTTACAAAGGAAAGGATAAAACTACCACCATTCGATTCGTCTCAGTGAGACAATTCTAACAAGCTATGATACATCTTTGTACGATTATTAGATGCCAAGTTATTTAATATATTCTTTATATAACTGTGATTATAAACGGTTCTTTTTAATATAAGATTTTTGAGGATAGGTGTGATAGTGACTATAGATAGATTGTGACTATATAGGATAGATTTTAATAATAAAGTATTTTGAACATTCAACTAGTGTGAATATATAGTAGAATGTGACTATAACAGGAGTGACTATAGAGGGAGTTGACTGTAATAATTTTTTTATTTGTTTAAATAAATCCTATTCGGCATCAATTAATTTCCATTGACTGATTAAAATTGATCAAAACCCATTCCTACATAAGAAAAAATGTTAAAAATATATAAAAAAACCTTTAAGACCTCTCCCAAAATATTTACCTCTTTAATCCGAAACTAGTAGAAGGAGTTTCTAGAAAAAAAGTGAAAAAAATATTATAAAGTTAGTTTATTAAAAAAAGAAGGAAAAACTTTACAAAAATACAGAATATTTAATGATTTAACAAAAAAAAATTAACTGAAAAGTAATTAATAATAAATATCAAATAGATTATAATTAAACAACTAATCAATACATAATTTAATTTCACTAAATCATTGTTATTAATATTTAGAGTTATATCTTTATTGAAAGATTTTTTGAATAATTTTGCTTTCTAAATAAATTTTTTTTATAAACTATAAATAAAAAATAAAAAAACAGTTCCAAGTTGTGTTCAATGTAAAATAATTACTAATATACTTGCAAAAATTCTCAACTTACTTGATGTAAAAACTGGTTGAAAAGTTGATAAGGAAGTTGATGGGGAGTTTAATAGGGAGTTTACGAAAGAAAAAAATTTTTTTAACGTAACTTTTTGTTGCTTGATATCTGTCATATGATCATGTAGTACAAGTGTAATCATTTTTGCAAAACTTAATTTACCTAATTTTTATTATTGCTGTTTTCTAATTACTGTGATCTAGCATTATTTAATAAAAAAAAAAATTTTTGAGAAAATATGTGAAAATAAAAATTTTATTGTATTTGAAAAAATTTTCAATTTTTAAATAAGTTTACTTATAAGTAACTTTTTAAATTTTGTGTAATAAATCAGTTTTTAAAAAGTTATTTATAAGCAAACTTATTTAAAGATTGAAAATTTTTTCTTAAAATTACAATTTTAGCTTATAATCAAACCTCCTTTATTTGAAAATGCAATAAAATTTTTATTTTCACATATTTTCTCAAAAAATTTTTTTTTTTATTAAATAATGTTAGATCACAGTAATTAGAAAACAGCAATAAATTATTTTTAAATTCCTTAATTTAGACGAATTTTGTTAATTCTGCAAATCGGCGGATATGAGTAATACATTATCAATAAAGCCAAATATGTAATCAAAGCTCATAACTTTTGAAAAATTTTAATATAAATTCTAAGTAAACTCAAATGTGAGTTATATCTGTATTATTTAGAATCTTAGTATGTAATTTAATATAATATTAAAGTATCAGTAGATGTTTCTATTGTTGTAAAAATTGAAGAATTTTTAAAATTAATATCTAAATTAGTTAAATGATGCTAATATGAAACTTTACTAAATTTGATATAATATTTATATTCTTCAAAATTGTTAGTAAATTATGCCTTTTGTAATTATTTCCAAATAATAAATACAAAGGTGGGTTCTATTATTCAAAAGAATTATTATATTATATTTATATAAAAGACTATCTATATGACTTATTTTTCATATTTCAATAATATTTAAAATTTTAATATTACTTAAAAAAAACTTTAAGGTTATTTGTAGTTTATCAATAATGTCTTCAATAAAATTATCATTGGCAATTTCAATATTTAAATTCTATAAGATTTATATGCCCTATAAAAAGTTATACTTAAAATATAAAACTAATTTTAATTCAGAATAATTTAACCTGATAATTTTATATGGAAATTTATTAATTATAAAATCACCTAATCATAACTATCATAATATTTTACATATTATTTATTTGTTTATCAAACATTTTCTGTTCTACACTTCTTTTGCTTTTAACATTTCAAACTTTGACCTTTTAACATGAATGACCTATCTTATAAGTAACTGAAGCAAAATCCTCTTTATACAGATAATAAACTTGCTTTATAATGAAATTTTCCCAACATATAATATTTAACTAATTAAATATATCAAATATCTCTTGATATAACAACTCAATTAATTAAATTCTTTGAATTCTTTGCTATAATCTTATAGTGAATTTGAAATGAAAAACCAGAGAGTTCATTATATCAAGAGCTGACTGTATAATTTATTTTATTTCTAGATAGGTTTATTAAAATTTTGAATTTTTATAAGAATTACATTAAATACTTAATCATAAATTCTAATTAAATTAGCAAATTACTTGAATAATGATTATTCATTTCTCAACAATAAGATGGAAAATCCTACAATAAAAAGAGATAAGCCAAAAAGACCAGATTTAATAATTATGTATTTATTAGCCTAATTTTTTAAAATACAATTTTTTTTTATTATAATGAAAAAAATGACAATGGAAGAATTATGTTAATTAATAAATTGTCATGTAATATTTTTAAAGATTACATCCTTGTTTAAATCTGAGATTTCAAATAATGGTTTATATTCAAATTTACATCGAATTTGTGTAATATAATATTTTGGCACGGCTTAAACCTAATTTATCCTCACATTTATTTCTTCTTCAAGTTCGTTATGATTGAAAGTATTAGACTGACAAGTTGGTCACTTTCATATATCGAATATTTTTTTTTTTTTTGCTGGGATATGATAGTATGACTAAATAACTATTAAAGACATCCTTTTTTTAGAGAATGTGCAAATTTCTTAGATTCTCATTAACAGAGATAATTTGATGATAAATATATAAGAGATGTCTAGCAAGGAACGAATCAATCAGCAAAACGATTATCACTGTTGACTAGAGATTGCTATAAATTTTTCTTCGAAAGGAAATATTTAGCAATTATACATATTAGAATAAATGTAAAATGCTTTTTTCTTAGCCATAATTATGACCAAGCTCCTTTCGGTAACATAGAAAAACATTATAATTAGAATTTATTTTATTTTTCACTTTTATTAATTTACGCTATTATTGGTAAACAATCTAAAGTTGTTCCTCTTCCTCTTTATCAATATCATCCTCCGATCCAAAAAAATCGTCATCAATCGTCTTACTCAAATTACTCATAATAATTTCTTCAATCCGGTAGAAAACTAATTAATAACAAATTTCACATAAAAAAAAAAAATCCTTAGCTTAATAATTTTACCTTTATCTCTTTCTTGGCATTTGTTCTCTTTCTTTTTAAGACTTTCATTATTCATCATCTTTTCAACAATTTGTAATTTAATTTCCTCCTTAAATCGTTTATTTAAAGATTCTAAATCATTACTTTGCATAGCTCCTTTTATTATCTGTCTAATTTCATTTCTTTTCGATATCATTTTTTCATCATCTCCCCCACTTGTTGGATGAAGTGCCAAATACTTGAGATTCTTTGGGTAATACTATCGGTAAATTCATAGTTAAAAATGGTTGTAAAAAAATTTCTTTTTTTTTTGGTTGACCTACCAAAATATAATTAAAATCTATTTGTAATTCATACAACTTTTTTTCAAGTTCTGTCTTCTCTCGAAATGTTCGTGTTTCGTTTAGTTGTTTCTGGACTTTTTTAATTGCTCTCTCAACTTTTTTTCGATCTATTGTAGCGATTAAAATTAGTCAAATGTATTTTAATTCTAAGAAAAAATTGGAAGCGATATTACCGAAATGTTTAACCATTCGATATTTTGAAGTCATATTTTTCTCCTTATTTTCTGCCATTCTTTCAACTAGCAACAACTTGCACGCTTTCAAGCGTCTTTCCAGGCTTACTTGTCCTTTGGCTGAAAGTTTCTCATTCTACGAGAAAATAAATAAGTCAACTAGTTAATGTAGAACATTATACCTTAAGTGTAGTCCGATGTGACAAAAAACTCTACACAACTGTTTTTAAGAACCGTTCTGTATCTCTTATTTTCTTTTTAAGTGCTGTTACGCTCAATGTATCTAAAGATCCTTTCTCGCTTTTTTTATAACCTTTATTCTTATTTTTGCAAACGGGCGGCATTTTGCAAGTATTAAACTATTAAATTCTAAAATCCCGCCATATATTTCACACGCCGGATCACGTGAGATGAAAATTTACTAATTGTTATATCGGGAAAAAATTGAGGAGGAATCTTTTTTAGAAGAAAATGGAGCGTAAACGTACTAGACCTGCGAATGTGTTAGGAGATGACGATGAGCCGTCTTCTATTGAGCCTGAGAGTAAAAAGTTTAGAAGGTAAAATTTTGAAGAGTTTTTTTATTCGGTTTTCCTTTGGTTAATTTTTTATTTATTGAATCGAATCCTGACTCGTTGCAGCTCTGGAATTGTAAGTATTAAGTTAGCTTTTTTATTTTATCTTATCTTATCTCTAAATATGTTACTTTTTAAAAGGGGGTCCCAAGTTACCGACCAACTCCTTCCGATTCTTCAATACCGAATGCAGCGCCTCGTCCCGAGCAGGTACCTTTGTTTAACGGGATTTCCTTCCTCACTTTTTTCATTTTTTAACTATAAATTTTCCTTGGAATTAGATTAAAGCTATGATTGCGCAAAAGAAAGCACAATTGGAGGCTATGGCTGCTTCATTGAGACCATCTCAACCTAGGCCACCTTTATTACCTATTAGACCACTCGTGTTATCTAGTAGTACGTCTACTACCAGTATAACCACACCTGTTTCTATTTCAACACAAAACAATTTCACATCGTCAGGAATTGATCCTGATCTTCAGCGTAAAATTCTTGAAGCCAAAGAAAGAGTTAAAGTTAATTTGGCTAAAGCAAATCCTTACTTGGTACGTATATTTGTTATATATTTGAAGCTGATGTTTATTAGATATTATACTAAATAAATTCATTATTAAGCCTTCAACTAGTTCATTAGCAAAAGCGGCTGATGATTCTTTAAAAGCTAAAGGAGGTTTAAAAGTAGAAGCTCATCCTGCACTTTCATTAGATCAAAGTGGAAAATTAGATCTAAAAAGAGTTGCGGCACTAATACCAAAACCAAATTTTGCTACTGTAAAGGTAAGTTATATAAAAAATTAAATATTTAATGTTTTGTCTTTCTTTCAAATGCACATCTTCAAAAAAAAAAATTCTTTTTATATTAGAAAACATAATGACTGAATAAAATTGTGTTAACGCCTAAAAAACACTCCTTAGGCGAATCAAAGGGCCGCACCTGCTGCTTCAAAACAAGAATCTAAAGTATCATCAACCCCGTCTGAAGAATTGAATGATATTACTCAAAATCCATATTTTGATCCAAGAGCCGGTTCCATTGCTCCTCAACGTCGTGGACGTAAAAAATTTAAATTCATTCAAAGAGGAAAATATGAATCCATAGGAGATCAAATGAGAGCTCAAGTGTGTTTAAAGGATGATAAATAATTCTAGTTTGATTTGACAAGAACTCGAATAATCTTTTTCTTTTTATAGGCTAAATTGGAAAAATTAAAAGAGGACATTGCTCAAAGTGTGAAAAAGGCTGGCATGGAAGCAGAACTGGATTCATCTGATAAAGCAATCAAGGTAAAGTTTATATTATGAAGGGATAGATGATGTAGTAATTTTTTTTATAACTTATTTCTTTCTTTTTTCTTTAGAGAGATCCTCCACCTGCATTAGAATGGTGGGATGCCCATTTACTGCCAAATAAAACCTATGCAGATATTGATGCTGGCTTGGCCTTGGCCAGGATCGAAGACGATGATTCTCTTGTTACTTGGTTTGTTCAACATCCAATTCCAATTAAACCTCCTGGAGATAACGGTCCTCCCCCGCCGAAACCATTAATGTTGACCAAGAAGGTAATTATCCATTCAATTTATATTCGATGTTTAGGCTTCGATAGGCTTAGTCAAATTAAATATATTTTTAATAAAATAAATAATGCAATGACGTAACCAGGAACAAAAGAAGCTACGCAAACAGCGACGTTTAGAATTGCAGAAAGAGAAACAAGATAAAATTCGTTTAGGCTTGTTACCACCGGATCAACCTAAAGGTAAAATTATAATTACTTAATTTACTTGCTAATATTTCATTATTTTAATAAATTAAAAGAGAATTCTTTTGTATAGTCAAAATGAGTAATTTGATGAGAGTTCTTACAAACGAGGCTATCCAGGATCCAACCAAGGCTGAGGCTCAAGTTCGTAAAGAAATGCAAAGACGTCAAGAAACTCATTTAAAGGCTAATGAAGAACGTAAATTAACCGAAGAACAAAGGAAAGAAAAGAGACGGAAAAAACTGGAAGAAGATGCCAAAAAAGGCACTATAGTTTGTGTTTTCAAGTAAGCTATAGTAAATTTTTCAGTTAATTTTTTTTTAATTCTAACATTAGTTTATCAATTTTTAATTTAGAGTGAATGATCTTTCACATCCGAAAATGAAATTTAAGGTTGACACAAATGCACAACAACTTGGTCTTACGGGAACAGTTATTATCAATCCTAACTTCAATGTAGTAATAGTTGAAGGAGGACCAAAAGGAATTAAATATTATAAGAAATTAATGATAAGACGTATTGATTGGTCTGATACTACGAGACTGGGAGAAGGAAGTGGAGCTGGTGGAAATGGAGGAGGAAATGAACAAGGTGAAGACGAACCAACTGCGGAACCTCCCAAAGAAAATAAATGTGTGTTGATTTGGGAAGGAGAAGTTAAAGACCGTGGATTTAAAGGTTTTTGGTTTAAAACTTGTCCTACAGAAAAAATTGCTAAGGACTATTTGAGAAAACATAAAGGTGAACATTATTGGGATTTAGCTAGTAAATATGTAGATGATGGTCTTGAATTACCTAATGTGTTTTAGTTTACTGAAATGAAGTACATATTTTATGTTCCTTCTTATATTATATAAGTAAAATTCATGATATCTCTTTATCAGTATTATCTTGTTGACATTATTTCATTTTATCTCACAACAACTAACGTTCTTGGAATCCATAGCCAACTTTTTAATCACGTTAATAAGTTAATTCGTTTTCATAAAAAAAGTCGCCGATCTCTCACCAATCACGTGGTCGTTATGGCCCACAAATTGCATTATAGTGCTGCGCCACAAAGGGTTCATTCGACACAAAACTAGAATGTAACTGTATGCAAACTTTTTGAGCTATTCATTTAATTGGGCTAATTTTAAATAACCCCACATTTTGCTTGACTGTTAACGCAGTTTTTTTTTATCCATTGCCAAATTTTCTCTTCCTTTTCAAATAAATAATGGTCGAGCATTCGGAAAACCAAAGAAAATGGCTACATGCCGCTATTGTAGCTGGTCATATCATTAGTATTCCTTTCGCTACTTTTGATCAAGCTGAAATTGTGGCAAGAGGAGCTTTTGGTGAAGTTTCTCGCGCTTATTGGAAAAGTGCTGAAAAAACCGTTGCATTAAAAAGCCTTTATAACAATCCCGTTATGGGAACAGAAGGTTCTTTTGAAGAGTTTGTTAAAGAGGTAATATTTATTTATTTATTTATTTATTTGGCAATTTCGACCAGAATTTTATTATAATCTACGTCGGATTTATAGCTTAAATTAATCCGTTCCGTTGATTTTCATGACAACGTAATAAGGTTTTATGGTGTAAGTGAAGGTAATATATTAAAATATTTAAATCACTATTTTTTATATATTTTATTTATACACATTTTTTTTAAATAGATCCAACAACACACAGATATTTTATGGTGTTGCAATATGCTAACGGAGGAAACCTTCGAGATTTCTTAAATAAACATCACGAATTCCTTAATTGGGAAACAAGAATAAATATGGCAAGTCAAATAGCTAGTGGCCTAAAGTGCATTCATGAGCGTAACATAGTACACAGAGATTTAGTAAGTGATGGAAATTATATACTTAGCTTTGGATAAAAAGTCTAGAATTAATTCTTATCTTTTTTCTCTTATAGCACTCAAAAAATATATTAGTGCATGATGGAAAAATGATGATCACAGACTTTGGATTATCAAAATCATTAGACAATAATGAACATTCTGTTGTAGGAGGGATGGTTGGTTATATCGAACCACAATGTTTTATAGATTCGACATATAAAAGGGACAAGGCGTCGGATATATATAGTTTAGGCGTTTTATTGTGGGAAATATCAAGCGGGAAACCACCTTTTAACAATATGGCTATTTTAGATATAGCTCGCGAAGTTGTTCAAGGTAGAAGAGAGGCTCCAATTGAAGGTTCACCACCTGCTTATGTAGCAATTTATCAGATGGCTTGGGATAGTGATCCTAACAAACGTTCCACAATAAATAAAGTACGAGAAGATCTTGAAAGATTACAATCAAACTGCGATATAGAGAATCTTAGTTTGGCCGGATTGTCCATAAATTCACAAGGTAAAGACAATAATTTTGTAAGTTCGCCTGTTAGCGAGTTTGGCTCAAATAATAATTTCGCAGCAAATTCCGGTGCGCAAAATTCAAATGTACAACAATCAACAATACCGTTTGGAGTAGCTGAGTCAATGAATCCGAATAAGAGAGCTACATTACGAGATAATTATATTCAGCCAATTAATAATAATAACACGGGACAATTAATGAGTCCTCCAAATTCAAATGAAATTTCCACCAAACAAGATAGTGTAGCGGATCTGCATAAACAAAACCCAACAATAGTAAACATACCTTTCGGAGTTGCTAGTTCGATGAATCCACATAGATCAAACACAGCTAGTACTTTACGTACTAATTATCTGTCAACAAATAATACAGCTCCAATTCCGAATTTAAATTCACAAAATCAGTCCACTTTACCATTTAATAATGTAGTCGATCAAAGAAATAATATCGTAAACGTTAACTACAGCTCTCAAAACAACTCTATTCCGATTCCACAGTCTCAGGTCCCACAAGTTTCTAAGCAAAATTATACAAATATGTCAACAGTAGATCGAGTGGAACAAAAACAAAAATTCCCTCACGTAAATAACGAGCCACCATCTAATCAACTTCCCCAAAATTTTACACAAAATTCGGCAGGTTTTCAAAGGAATAACACTATAAGTTATACTCCGCGAATTGATAATAAGCCAAATCCTACGAATCAACCTCAATCTAATCAGTTCCCACAAAACTTTGCATTGTCGTCTAACGCAATTAATAATAATTCACAAGGATTCCAAGGAAGTCATACACCAGCGCAACAACAATTATCACAACCACGACCATATCAACAGCCACTTCAACCTCAACTCTATCAACAGCCTCAACCACGATCATATCAACCTCCTCAACCACAATCCTATCAACAGAAACCCTATCAGCAGCAACAGTCTCAACCACAGCCATATCAACAGCAACCACCTCAACCACAACCCTATCAGCAACAACCCCCTCAACCACAACCCTATCAGCAACCTCAACCTCAACCTCAACCTCAACCTCAACCCTATCAGCAACCACAACCACAACCACAACCTTATCCTTCTCAACCGCAGCCCTACCAACAGCAACCTCTTCAACCAAGACCATATCAACCGCCTCAACAGCAGCCTTATCAACAGCAACCTCCTCAACCTCAGCCCTACCAACAGCAACCTCCTCAACCACGACCATATCAACCGCCTCAACAGCAACCTTATCAACAGCAACCTCCTCAACTACGACCACAAAATTATAATAATAACGTGCAATCCAATCCAATGGCACAACAGCAGAATCACACTTTGCATAGTATTCCTAGTGTGCAAAATCAAGTCCTTCAGCATCATTCTAATCAATATCATCCTGGAATACAAAATCAACCAGGACTACAAAGAAATAATACAATGCGACAACAGCAGTATTCACCTCAACAAAATTTTCCTGGACAGAATCCAAAATCTAATACTTATATCCCAAATCAACCTCCTTCACAACCATTTAATAGTATGTATTTTATAAAACAATTTAATTTATATCATTTAATTATATCTAACGGCTTGTTACTTATAATAGATTCATATCCTCATCATCCCCCTCAACGTCCGGTGAGTTTATTATATTTTAATTGTTGTTTCAACAAGTAATTTACTTATTTTTTCTTTATAATTAGGTGGTTCATCCATCACAAAATCCATATAAATGCACATGTGCAGATATAATGACAAAGTACGTTGAGGAATTCCAAACCACACGTGGTTATGAAATGCCAGGTGAATGTCATGCAGGATACCATGCCGGTATGGGAGATGTTGTAGGATTAAGATGGCATTTATGTCATGACAGAAGAGTTGACGGAAATTATAAGTTTGTTGATATGTCAGATAAGCTGGTATTAATTGCAGCAAGATACTGCGGAAGAAAGTATCTAAATATTATGTTTCAATGTCTTAAAGAATATGGAGCAAGTTTTGAAGTTACAACAAAAAAAAAAGGACAAACAGCATTTCATTTATTATTCTTTAATAAAGTACTTAGTAACAAAATCACTTACTCCGATGATAAACTTAATAAATATCACAAGGTATATTTTCATGCAATTAAATTTCTGAAAGAAGTGGGATGTAATATTAATGCAAAAGATGAAGATGGAATGACGGTTTTATCATATTTTCTTGGTGAAAAGTTTTTACATGCACAAAGAACTCCAATTATACAAACATTATTAGACAATGGCGCGGATCCAAATATGCCTGTTAACATAAAAGATTGGGGAGAATTTGATGCAAAAACATCTTTATTACAAGCAGTAAGAAATAAATGGCCAACTACAGTGTTAGAATTAATTGTTAAACATGGTGTAGATGTTAAAGCCATTAACAATGAAGGTATGAATGCATTAGCTATAGCTACTCAACATAAGGACATGACTACAATGACTTGGATGTTAGATAATATTAGTATAATAAGTGATAGTGATAGTATTAAAATTGCTAAAAAGTTTGCTGGGAATTTTACTACTAAAGAATCTCAATTGTTAAGTAAGAAAAGAAACAAAGTATTACCTAATGATTTGTCTTCTTTCTCTTCTACAAGTTCTTCAACTAGTAATGTTAATGGTAATACATCAAAGAAAAAATAAAACTATAATAAGAGAGATTCAGTAACAAGATTTAATAATAAATGGATAGTTGTAATTTTTATTTAATTTATTTATTTTTATTTTATTTTATTTGTAATTACTAAAAAAAACTTGTAATATTATTTTTCAATACAGTTAACCAATTATAAATTTATATGTATTACTGTATAGTTAGATTTTATATAATAATATATTGGAATTTATATAAAAATCTTAAAAATTTATATATTTTTTCAATTAAACATCTGTAATTATCTTACCTTTAATTAGAAGGATATTGCTAAATATTACTGGTGGTAATGGTTACTGATAGTAAAATTATATATTGTAATGCTGGCCAGTATTTTATTAGATTTTTAAAATACATTATAATACTAATATGGTAACCATTATTACTGGTGGATTTTAGCAATTTTCCAATTAGAATATCAGAATCTTATTATATACAATTATTTATTAAAAATTAATATTAAATTTATTTATAATTATATTTATTACCAGCAGAATTTAACAATTATGATTTATGACTAAAGCTCTGAATGGGTCAGTTTGGTCTGGATTATAGACAGTTCGGATTAGAGCTGAAATCTGTAAGAACTGAACCGAAAAACCGGCAGTTTGGTTTGGTTTAATCTGATTTTTATAAAAATGCAAAAAATTGAATAGCTGTCGATCTAGTGATCATACAAAGTCGAGCCATATATCATTAGATTCGTCTTGACGAGATGCGTCGAATGGTGGTATTAAGCATTGATAAATCACAAGTTAACTCACGCTAATGATTTATCAATAATTGGAATTAGCAAGCCATTTATCAGTGCTAGAGATATGATCTCAGCACCATTCAATGCGTCTCAGTAAGACAAATCCAATGAATATAAATTCGTATGTGTACGATCACTGGATGGCGAATAATGTCAAGTTTTGCATTTTTTTTAAAAATTTTCGAGCATTAAAAATTAAAAATTCTGATACATGAATTTATTCATCATCCAATGGTCGTATAAATGTGAATTAGGACTCATTGGATTCGTCTTGATGAGATGAGTCGAATGGTAGTAAGATCACGTCTCTAGTATCGATAGATAGCTTGCTAATGCCAATTTTTTATAAATCATTTAGTGTGGATTAACATGTGATCTATCGATGCTAGAGACATGATCTTAGCACCATTTGACTTGTCTTATCGAGACGAATCCAATAAGTCCTAATTCACATAGGGATGGGGACAGTTCGTTCGGTTCCATTTCGGTTCGCCGTCGGTTCCACGTCAGTTCCCATTAAGAAAAATATGAGCTACATGTGTCAAATTAAAGACACGAGTCGAACATATATTGATTATGAATTAAAAAAATTTTGATTGGTTAACAATCAATAGTTGGTTCATGATCATCATAATTTTGATGTTGATCATATTTTGAATCAGTTTTTAGAACTAGTTCAGAACCGGTTCGGTTCAATTTTTAAAAGCTATTAAAAATTGTTTTGACTTATAAATTTTCTTTTTTTTTATTTATTGTAAAAATATTAGTGTTTCTCTATTCCCAATAAGATTTTTGGCTCATATAAGTTCGAAACTCACGAGATTTTGATCAGTTCCAAAAACCGCTTAAAATTACGTAATCGAACTGACCCCATCCCTAAATTCACATTTATACGACTATTGGATGACAAATAAATTCATGTATCAAAATTTTTAATTTTTAACGCTCAAAAATTTTAAAAAAATGCAAAACTTGACATTATTCACCATCCAGTGATCATACACAAACAAATTTATATTCATTAGATTCGTCTCACTGAGACACGTCGAATGGTGCTAAGATCATGTCTCTAGCACCAATAGATGGATTGCTAATTCCAATTATTGATAAATCATTTAGTGTGGGTTAACTTGTGATCTATCGATGCTAAAGACATGATCTTACCACCATTCAACGCGTCTTGTCAAGACGAATCTAATGATATATGGTTTGACTTTGTACGATTACTAGATCAACAGCTATTCCAAACCGTTCAGAGCTTTATTTATAACTAATGTAATTGATTTTACTTATAACATAATATTTTGATAATGACTTTATGACTTTTAATTTTACTGGAAAGTACCATATAATAGGAATTACAGTACCCAGGTATAATACAGATTTCAGAGGTTTTGACCTTATACCCCTTACCATGGCATGAGTTTTTATTATTAGTAAATATGTATAAAACCTATATAATAATTGGGTATTTATTATTAAAGCTCCGCATGAGCCGGCTTGAGCTGAACCACAGTCTGGTTCAGCTTGACTTGAAAAAAAATTCTGGCCTGAGTTGGAATGAGCCGAGCCATAAAAAATTTTGGCTCGAGCTAAAGTGAGCCGAGCCAAGCCATTAAAAACCTGGCTCGAGCTAAGCTATGCTCAAGCTTTATCTTCAGAAAAACGTTTCGCAATGTATTTTATTAAAACATTGAAAAAAAACGTTGCGAAACGTTTTTTTTAAATATATTATTAAGAAAAACATTTTCGCAACGTTTTTTAATTAAAACATCAAAAAAAAATGTTGCGAAATGTTTTTTAGGACCCTGGATATCTCCAAAACAGGTCATAAGTCACACTTTCGGCAGATTGGCCCATTTTTTAGGGGCTCAAAAAATCGTTTTTTGTAAATATCTCGGCATCCAGTGGTCCAATTTTGATGAACTTTTTTTTAAATTGTAGAGCTAAATGAGGGCTACAAAATAAAAAAAGTTCATTAAAATTGAATTACTGGATGCTGAGATATTTACAAAAAACGATTTTTTGAATTTCAGCAAAAAGGGGTGTTTTTGGCCAAAAGTCCATTATGACCTTTATATTAGATATCCGGGGTCCTTGTTTTTTTTAATATAATATTTGAAAAAAACGTTTTCGCAACGTTTTTTAATTAAAACATCAAAAATAAATGTTGCGAATCATTTTTTCTAACATAATACTTTGAAAAAAACATTTTCGCAACGTTTTTATTAAAACATTGAAAAAAACGTTGCGAAACGTTTTTTTTAAATATAATATTTTGAAAAAATGTTTTTGCAACATTTTTTATTAAAATATCAAAAAAAAATGGTGCGAAACATTTTTATCTTAAATATATTATTACGAAAAAATGTTTCGCGCCATTTTTTAATTAAAACATTGAAAAAAAATGTTGCGAAATGTTTTTTTCTAACATAATACTTTGAAAAAATGTTTTCGCAACGTTTTTATTAAAACATTGAAAAAAAATGTTGTGAAACATTTTTTTTAAATATATTATTAATAAAAAAACGTTTTCGCAACATTTTTTTATTAAAAATATCGAAAAATGTTGCAAAACGTTTTTTTTAAATATAATATTTTGAAAAAACATTTTCGCAACGTTTTTTATTAAAATATAAAAAAAAAACGTTGCAAACCATTTTTTTCTTAAATATATTATTACAAAAAAACGTTTCGCACCGTTTTTTAATTAAAATATTGAAAAAAAACATTGCGAAACGTTTTTTTAATATAATACTTTGAAAAAAACATTTCACAACATTTTCATTAAAATATTGAAAAAAAAATGTTGCAAAACATTTTTTTTTAAATATATTATTAATAAAAAACGTTTTCGCAACATTTTTTTTTAAATATATTATTAATAAAAAACGTTTTCGCAACGTTTTTTATTAAAAATATTGAAAAAAACGTTGCGAAAAGTTTTTTTTAAATATAATATTTTGAAAAAACGTTTTCGCAATATTTTTTATTAAAATATTGAAAAAAAACATTGCAAACCGTTTTTTTCTTAAATATATTATTACGAAAAAACGTTTCGCACCATTTTTTATTAGAATATCAAAAAAAAATGTTGCGAAATGTCTTTTTAATATATTATAATACAAAAACGTTTTGCGACATTTTTTGTATGATAACTTACAAGCCAACTCAAGCTTTTTGAGCTGAGCTTATTACCGGCTTGAGCTTTTTGAACCGAGCCTATTACCGGCTCGAGCTCTTTTCAAGCTGGCTCACGAGCCACTGAGCCAATTTAATCATGGCTCAGTTCAGCTCAGCTCATGCGGAGCTTTATTTATTATGCATAATATCTAGATATTTATTAAATTATTTTAAATAATAAAATCGGTAGAAAATGTGAGTTCTTTTTTGTAGAGTACTATTCATAGAGAAATACTATGGCCTGCAAAATATGCAATATGGTTAAATATCTGTTTATTGGTTTAATTTCATATGATTATCTAAAAATAAATTTATTGGCTAAAATTGTATATATAATAAATTTGAATTATTAATCAGTAAATTTATTGTAATACAAAGTTTTGTAACAAAAATTTTTTTTCTATATTGTATTTATAACTGTATCAATATAATTATTAATATATCATACAAATATTAGTTTCACTAATAAATCTATTTTTTTTTAAAAATAATATACTTTTATTTAGTTCTTGAAGATGAATAGTTTATTTTATTTTATATATTTGAGATAGTTTTTTTAGTTTTATTTTCTAGACTTTATTTTAACAGAAGACAGCCTGGCATATTACTCATTAGTTATAAAAGAAATATGAACAGAAAAATTACTTTATTATATAGATAATATTAAGTTATATTTATTAAGTAGAAATATATATTAGTCAAAATAGGACAATTCAATCTGATCAAATATAGGTCGAATAGTAGTCAGATCTGTATCAAATTGAGGTCAATATTTTTGGCATAGTTTAGGTTCTAATTATTTCAAATTTAGACTAATTATTTGACCAATATTTGACCAATATTCAATATTAAAACTTAAATCAAATTATAGTTTAATTAACATCTATTTATTTCTGAATTTATTTTAATTTTATTAAAAATTTTGTAGCTATATTATTATTATTATTTAATAATATTTATCTAAATTACAAATAAATATTGCTAATCTATAATTCTACAATCACATAATTTATGTATTCATATATACTTACAAATTTTAATTTTTTGGAAACTCACCGAAACTACAAAAAAAAAAAGAACAGTTAGTAACTGT